ATTAAAAACATTATACAATCAAAAATGATGTTTTTATGAAAAATTCTTCCAAAATTAAGATTTAAAATAATGCAACAGATGACCTGAAATCACTAAAGATAATGTATCCTGTAGTGAAAAAAAATCTATGCACACATTACAAACCACTATTAGGATGTTGTAAATTATACCAACATTGAAATGGAAAAAGACAAGCATAAAAGAACCTAAACTGCAATTGCACACACAGCCATAGCTGAATGGCTGTGTTTTCTGTACATCCATAAGTTTCCTTTCACAAAGCAAGGGGGATTATTACACTATGGGAATCTAGCAATTTTGACTTTGTTCCTTGAAATTATTGTTACATTTAGTACAAAGACTTGAGGATTTCATAGCCTTAACTACAAAGTCAGACATAAAAGTCCACATAAATAACATCCTGATTGTCAGAGACCAATTGTACCATATTAAAATGCAAGAGAGCTCCTAGTGCAGAACTCCTGCTAAATCTAAGCAACAGGCAGAAAGTTGGGGGGAAGCAGACAAACAAGGAAAAAAAACCCCTGAAACAAAACAAAACCAACACACAAAACCATTAGACACTTCTTTTAGGTACCACAAAACAGCTTTTAAATAAGAAGCAAACTTGGTAAACATCTATAGATAGTTGTCTGTGAAGGTGAGACAGGAAATCCTGCCAGAAATGTTTTAGACTAGGCAAGTATAAAGATGAGGTCAACAGCTCTGAAAATGTGCAATGTCTGTTTGCGAGAATAAGGCTTTTTTGGGAGCTTTGATAAGTTCAGACTTCGAAAGTCTTTTTTTTGTCTGAAAGTATGAAGAGAATACTCTGGAGGAAAGGCAAGACAAGTAATGGTACAAACAGCGTATCTGATGTGTGGTCAGGTCTGGAGCAAGAGAGGTATTGCCAAGGACTGCAAGGATCACACTGCTGAAAAGATGAATATCCAGTGGGAGTCAGTTGACTGAGCAGGCAAAGATGCAGGTCTGTAACAAAAGAAAAGCAGCCAGAAAAAGACACCTGCAATATGAAGATTTAGAGGAACAGTGGAATAGAATTGTTTTAGTTAAAGATTTAAGGAACAGAAAGAACTGCAATGAAAAAGACAAAGAGCAGTACTATGTCTTAAGTTAAAAAACAGGTATCTTTAAGATCAACAAGTTTCAGTATGGACCACAAGGATCTATTCAGGAGTGAAAAATGGCTCTGTTGCTCCTAAGTACAGAGGTATTCATTTAACTTCAATCTATAAACATGATTATTCAGAAAGAAGACAGATAATTAATGGTTGACAAACATACAGTTTGTGACCTGCTGGATACCAGGATCCACTTCTAAAGAACATTTAAGAAACATCTATCGACTTTTTGATCCAAGATACTAAGAACCTGAACACTGAATTTGCTATATTAGGTGAAGAACACGATAATCCACAAGACAAAGTGCTAATCCTATAAACTCATGCTGCCAGTTTGAATGTATTCAGAAAGCCTGATGAGCTAACCTCATACCAGAAGGCTTTCTACTAAATGAGGTACTGCTTGTTCTCTTGCAGTTGGCATAAATTCCATCTTATGTGCTTTAGCTAATTTAATAGAAACGTACTTGTAAATCCACACCTGATCTGGGTCACATGTATATTAATGCAGCACACAGATCGGTCACACAGAACCACCATCACCCAACATGAGTAGAATTACATTCCTTCTGCAAGCATCACTGGAATTCTTATTTGTTCAACACTAAAATTAAGATGAGGAACCATGAAAGAGAAAAACAACTTAGGTCTACTGCTTTCTCTACTTGGAAGCCAGCCAAAATATACATTGCTGTTCTAAAAATCACACTAAGTATATAAGTATACCTATAAGAAACAACAATGGCAAAAATACTATAAAACAAAATATTATTTCAATGAGGAAACAGAAGTTTAAGAACTGTCAACTTAACAAAAACATTAAAGTGCTTAAGTACTTTTGTATGTTACATTTTTAATGCTGTATGTGGTTTTTTGAGTTCCCATGACATTTAAGTGATATAATTTTGAATGACAGAAGCCTATTTATTTAATGATTTTAAAAAACCTAAATTTCTGTGTATAAACAAGCATTCTGAATTTGCCTTACAAACTACATGCTCAAATTCAGCCTACTTCTAATAATGAGGACAGTGCTCAGAAATTTTCCAGTAAAGGTTCTCTTGCTGCTGGGATAGCACATTGAAGTGTGTAGGATTACAAGGTTAAAATACTGCTGTACATGGATCTCATTCAGAATCCAGTATTTTTATCCCATGGCCTGCAAATTTGTGCAAAATGATAAACCAATTCACAAATATGTTGAAAGTTAGATATTCCAGGCCAATACTACTTTGCTCAACTTAAATATGTCAGCTTCTTTCTAGGAAGAGAACAACAAAATATATATCTAGCATGGATCAGTGATATTGCTCACAAAGTCGTAGTGTAGGTACAGTAATGTCACATCTATCTCTTAATTAAATCAATGCAATTTCCTGTTTTAGAAAAACCTCCAGGAAAACATATAATGTAAGAAATTACATTTTAAGGCTAGAATTAGGCTGATTTTATAAAAACATGTTCCCTTAATTGCACATTCTAGCTCAAGCTTCAGTAGGATTCTCTAATTACTACACAAAGATATAATTTTTATGGATGCTGGAATAAATCCATCCTATTGGGTTAATAGGCACACAGCTACATGCTCTTTATCTACATAGTAAAGTATTTTAGATGTCTCTCACACACTGTATTTTCCTGGTAGCAGCCCACAGTTTGCACTTTTCCTTTCATTTCAGTATGTTTTTGACAGAACAAACCCATACATAGATGCAGGAGTACAACCAAGTAAATGATAAACTATGACATACGGGCTGAACAAGCAATTGGGAACAGTGAGAAGACAGTGACTCTAGTGGAAGTAACTTTAAATAGTTTTTGCCATCAGATAAGGCATTCACATAACATTTAAGACATCTGACACAGTTACAAGGAAAAGTAACAGAAAAACTTTCACTCGAAGACATGCGAAATACACAAATACATGCATAGATGTATATACAATACCTCGAAGATCAGTAAACATGTAGGTAATTTTTGTTTATATGATGATTCAACTACTGATCCTGAAGAAGTTAGCCTGCTAGTTTTCAAACCTCCTTTTACTAGGGGAAAGGGAAATACTAAACCAACTGAACTACTGCTTAGAACACTATGAGAAAACATATATTTGAGCATTTGTTATGTATACTAAGATTTCATGAGATTCCAGCAGAAAAACATACTTTTCTCAAAAGCTGTTCTGCATTATAAACAATTTATAAAACTTAAAAATAGAAGATCATAACACAGGGCTTTAGACGTAACAGCATTAAACAGCTGAAAATGGTGACCAAATTAATCCTAAAATTTAAAGCATCTTTCTACAGATGGCAACTTTATCCATATCCCCAGAATATAAGAGAAACAAAGATGACTACCAAACTACATGTACTAGAACTTCCACACAGAAAAACAGAAGACTGAAAAATAATTTTTAATGCCTTGTCAAAAGAAATATAAAGCATTACTCTGACACCTTTGAAAAAGTCAATAACATCTTCTGCAGTACTGTTACTGAACGCACACAGGATAACCTTTCCGTGCAGCAATCTGAGGATTCCAGAGGTATACAGGACTAGGCACAGCACCAACCAAAAGCCTACCACTTTCTGGAAAACAAACCAATTAAAAAAAGCTCTAATAGTTTTCCTCACAACCAAATTTTACAATCCATAAACACATTTTAAGACATTCCTTTTTCCTATACTAGTTTGTTTCATCTCTTCGTCTACACGTGAAAAAGCTTCACTTTCCTGTTCCCTTCTGGAGCTATTTTAGAATTTCACAACAGAAAGAAGTTATTTAAGAGGTCTATTACAATGTCTGCAGTGAACAAAGCACACCAGATGAGTAATCTAGCATAATCAACGTCGAGGTTTGCCTGAAACTGTAGCTCTGGGAAAGGAAGGGCTGCACGAGGAAAGCTGCAACTGAAAAGCTTCTTAACTCAGGATTAGGCGGATCCAGTCTGGTTTAGCTATATGGGATACACTGCAAAACTCCCTACATCATCAATACAATACAAATCTTTCAGCATTCAGCTGTATGCAAGTCGTACAGTATTTTTAGTTCTGCACAAACGTATTTATAATTAAACCTCTTTCTTTTCTCTTGTATAGACATTTTTAAAATCATCTAATTTTACTTATCTTTACAACCAAGCATATCAGTTAAAATATACAAGAAAGTCAGCTTCAAGTACTTGTTAGCAAAACTCGGCAATACATGACAGCATATTATGTAGGTCACGTAATTTGTGGGTCACAGATTTGAAACCCCATCTAGGTTATACTCCCCAGGCAACTTCCACAAAAATAAAACATCACCAGAAGTTAAATGGTGCTTTGCCGTGTGCTCCTTTGATGCCTTCCACACTTCATTCTTGCAGCAACAGTTTATACGTTCAGGTATACAAGAAACATTAACAGCGAACCATCCTCCTAGTATCTCTTCCTCTGAACCGAGGCATGCAGAACCCACGTCACAAGTTTCAGATGTTATCCCCTTCAGATGGAAGCCAGGGCCCGCTTTCAACAAGGGGCCCGGGGCAAACGAGCCCGCCCCGTTACCCCAGCGAGCCCTGTCTCTAACCCGGGAAGAAGCCGAGGCGCCCATCTTCGTATACGCCGCTGTGTCCCCCCTCCTCACCCCGGGAACTTCTGAGGGGCCATGAGCACAAAGCCCACTGAGGCGTTACCAGCGGCGACCGCCCGCCCAACCGCCCTGCAGCCCCCCGCGGTGCCGCCTCAACGGCGCCCCAGTTCGGCTGCCACCTGCCCGGCGTCACCTCAGGCAGGGCGGCGCAGGGAAGAGGGAACACCTCACCCCAGGGCTATGGGGTTACTTCATGGGACCATCACCCCCGCCAGCCCTTACCTAAGAGGAGCAGCTTCACCTCCCTGGCCGCCTTCTCGCCATCCTCTCGCAGGTTCCTGTCGATCATCTTGCTCCTCTCCACCGCCGCCTTGTCCTCGGCGCTCAACGTGCAGCCCATGTTGGCGAGAGGGCTGGTTTTACTTCGCCAGAAGAGAAGCGAGGAAGCAGTGGGGCTTCGCGCGCGGAGCCACAGGAGAGGCGCTGAAGGAAGGAGGTGGGGAGTGTCTCCGAGCTCTTTCTGCTTCCTTCCCTCCCTCTCACCTGAGACGCAACGGCGGCGGAGACACCAAACACCGAGTTTACCTCACTCACAAGCGAGCGCAGGGGAGCGGGAGGCTTAGCCTGAAACCCGCCCCGGGATAAGCGGAGCGGGAGCAACAGCAGGACCCACGCACCGACCGGGGCCGTTGCGGGCCGAGAGGAGGCTGCTGCTCCCGCGGCACCGCCCCCGCCTCGACGGAGGCGATCGGCGGCGCGCACCGCCCACACGGCGGCGCGGAGCGGGGTTGAGGCGGGGCGGTCGGGGGCGAGAGCGCGCACAGCGGGAAGGGCGGGGCGGCGCGAGCCACGCGTGCGCATTGCATCGGCGGGCCGTTGTAGGGGGAAAAAAGAGGAGGGTGGGGAAAAAAAGGGGGGGGGGGGGGGCAACGGAACAGTGTAACACAACGGGAACAAAACGGAAATGGTGTTTAAAACGGGCCCGGCGTAAGGAAGATGGCTTTCCCCCCATGAGGTGGTGCCGCCGAAAGCCCGCCTCACCTGCCGGCGGCGCGGGGTGAACCGTTGAGCACTCGAATTTAAACGTTTCTGGGCGGGCGGTTCCATTGGCCGGTGGGGCGGGGGAGCGCCGGGCAGGGCTGTACCACCACCCGCAGGGGCTGTTCCATGGGGAGAGGTCACTTGAGGCGTGGCGGGGAGCGGGAGGTGTTGGAGGAAGTGTTCTGCTCGGCCGTAGTCGGTGCTGTGTGGTCGCGACGTGGGACCCTTCTCCCTGCGAGAGGGGCTCAGGGTCCGGCCCCTACCGGCGTTGAGTGCCTGTGAGGGAATCGTCCCCTCAGGAGCGGGACGGGGCTAGGGCAGCGCAGGGTTTGCTGCTGTTGATGCTCGCCGGTCAGCTGCGTGTTCCCCCACGGAAAGAGAGCCAGGGGAAACGATCCCACCCCACGGCCCAGAACTATTCCATTAACTTCCATTTCATGTGCCTGTTTACTTGCACAGAGCTCGAGTGTAGTCGTGCACACCCACATCAGATCCAGGGGTTGTTTTGTTGCTTGACTGTTGTGTTCTTTAATATCAAACCCCTAAGACCATACAGCGCTCGCAGGTCTTTCCCCAGCATGCATGTACTGAGGTGTTTGGAGTAGAAAGATCTTGTTGCCTTGTACCTGAGATCATCTGGTCCAACCTCCTGCCCAAGGCCAGGTCAGCTGAGCTACTGCGTGACCCCTGGCTCGACTTGTGAGCGAAGCCAGCTTGAAACAAAGTGCATTTCACAGAATATCATAGATAAAACAGCCTGTACATGAAATAAAATGAGATAAAATCTCAGCAAAGTCTCAGTCAAAACATTTCATAAGACACAACAGTCTACACAAGGCAGTCCTGTTAAACTGAGGTTAATATTTCCCAGTGAGTCTTTCAGATGTTTTGATTCTATAGGGTATCAAGGATTTCTGCCCCCAGAATGTGCTCTGAAAAAGCAGAATTTTACAGTACAGGAGATGATGTAGCATTAGAGTACAAAGACTTTAGGTCAGACTCAGATATTGCTACACTTGGTAAATTAAAAGTTTTTTCATATAATACTTGATGGAAAAGTATCAAATTAATTTTTTTGTTGGATTTTCTTCTTCACAGGGATCTTTGCTGATGCTGAATAAACCATACAAAATGATGTAAAATGAAGTAGATAACGCTCAATTGAACTGACTTAAAACAGTTAACATTTTCTGGTTGGTAAGCATGTACTCTAGCAAAGTATGGTATGAAATTCTTTCTTAAAGAAACTCTGAACAACATTAACTTTTAGGACTTCATCAGACCTCTGAGACATCTTTAGTGTGAGGGTGGTGAGGCCCTGGTACAGAGAAGCTGTGGCTGCCCCATCCCTGGCAGTGTTCAAGGCCAGGTTGGACGGGGCTTGCGGTAACCTGGTCTAGTGGAAGGTGTCCCTGCCCATGGCAGGTGGTTGGAACTGGATGAGCTTTAAGCTCCCTTGCATTCCAAATCATTCTGTGACTCTATGATTTTATTTGGCCATCTTCATTGTGCTGCTGCTCTGAAGAATGGCTGGGCATCTGAGACTTACTTCTCTGCCACCGGCCATTTGCCTACCTGGGTGGTTCATGTACACACTCCACTTTCTATTCTCTTGTGCAGACTGGTACCATAGGATAAGAGTTTTTGTAAAACAGTTTAGCTCACATATGGGAACTTAGTCTTGTTTTAGGGCTCCTGGTATCTTCTGTTACAATGTGAGAGGCAGTAATTTTGATTGCTGCTGAAGGGAGTTAGGAAAATGAATAAGCTTAGGGTTAGTTTGCTGGTTTGGAAATAAAGGATAAAAAATAATGTTTGGATATTGGCAAGTGAAAGGGTGCAGATTAAGGGAGAAGAAAGCAGTAAGCAGAGATTATAGTACACAGAAATGTGATAATGAGAGATGTAGATGTTATGAGGATGAAGACACTAGAAGTAGGACACCCCAGCTTTGCTTGGATTTTGTTTCACTTAATCACGTGCCTGGCACACACATTTTTATACTTCTGACTAGGAGTGTCTGCTATGGTTCTATCTCTGCCTTCTTACCCTTTTAACACTGTCACTATGCCTGAAGTGTAAAGGGTGAAGTAGGCTGGAGTTCCTTTTATCTCCCTGTTGTAGGAAAACAGAAATGTCTACTGTCTGCTTTTTCACACATTTAGCTAGTCTGAAGTATAAATAGATTTCATTCTAGTTTTAGTCCTTTTTTTTTCATAATTAGGGACTCTTCTACTACCTTTTTGCTATTACAAGCACATGGATAAGGTGTATCTGTTTGTACATGGATGACATTACCAAAACTGGGGTTACCCTGAAGATCAGCTTGCGTGTATTTTTTCTGACATGCACATTCCTTGTGTTGAAATTTGCAGCCAATTTCTGTTGATACATAATTTTACAGGTGTAGAAGAAATAGTCATTGCAGGTTACATGGGCTTTTCCAGTATTATTTCCTTATTCTGTCTCCTTTGAAATAATAAAAGGTATTTTCAGCTGTGTTCAGCGATGTCAGTTGTTTTACTTCTAGAATAACGGCCCAGGAGATAAATTATTATGTTCTAGAGTCACTTCACAACAATAGAAGCTCTCAGGAACATGGAATAACCCGTACTCTTTTTACAGTGCCCAAGATGGCTGAAGAATGATTGCACTAACTAGTGTGGCCAGGAAGCTTTTAATACTCAGAAGAAACATTGTTTGTGCAGCGCTTTACAGGTACTGTCTTATATGATGTTTAGTTGTAGAGCAGTGGGGACGTGAATCTCTATCTGGAGCTAGTAAAGATCTGTATATGATGCCTTAATGTATTTTCTTACAAATTAAAATATTCTACTGTAACAGTAAAAGAAGCTGTAGTTAAATATAGTCTGTATTTGGGCAGTACACCATCTATTAGTTTTATTTCAAAATGTCAGAAATGTGTTTGCTCTAACCCATCGATTAGACTTGCCTCACATCAGTGTGGTTATATGAAATAGTGTATTTCATCCCTATAGTTAGAACTGTACACATTTTTCCTTATCCAACAAGTTGGGAGCTTGCTCAGAAGCTGTGTGAGTTTTTTGCCTCTTCAGTCCTGAGAGAGGATTGTTTTAAGAGATTTTGTTTGCTTGTTTTAACAACAAATAGCTGTTGTTTGGTATGACCTCCTTTTAGCTCCCCATCACCTGCTCTTGGGCTCAATTTTCTCTTAGGTTATGTTTAGTTATTACTGGATGTGCTTAATAGATAGAATTCTCAAGTTTGGTGTGGAATATATAGTGGTTTGTGGGGATAATAATCACCCTCCAGCCTTATATTTTGCTGGTTTTCAGATATTAATTTAAATTATCTAATTCAGCAACTTTTTTGCCCTCATTTTTAACCAGACACAGTATGCAAAATCATGTATGAGAAATTGAATGTAATTGTTATGAAAGAGATAAAGTGGGCAAGAATTTAATTTCTGTGTATCTTTGGAAAAGTGAATAGACTAAGGTAAAGTACTTTCTGAATAAAGCACGTAACTATATACATAATTATAGCTTAATGCCTGAACTAAGGTAAAATATAATCTAATTCATTTATTGTGCTAAGAAAACAAAATGCTCCCAATATTCAATGCAAGGTACTTTCTTCCATACCACTGCTTCACTTTTTAAATTATTTATATATTGGTGTTCTGCCTTTAGCCAGCTTCTTGACCTTTTTACAGTTCTAGCAACCCCCATTTCTTTTCCAGATAGACTAGGGGCTTCACATCTATGTTGTGGTCCCATGCTCACTATATGTAGATGATTACCAACTGCAGGAATCTCTGCTACACTATCTGAAATTTAAACAAATAAAAAAAACAGTAAGTAGACATCAAAGCAGATAGAAATTCACCACACCAGCACATATAGTGCTTGTTAACATGGATTTAAGTAACTGTTGTCAGTGCTTTGGGGGTTTCTGGGGTGTATGTTGTGCGAGGATGGTGCTCTTGGGAGGGAGACACATGCCGTGTAAGCCAGTGAGTGCTATGCATGATCTAGTGCCCAGTGCTGCCCTGAAATACACAGTGAGGATTCTGTTAATGTTAATGAAGGCAGTGATAATTACACAAACGTGGGAGGAGAATCAGCTTTCTGTACCCATACAGTGTAATCCAGAGGTACTTGAAAGTGGACTGCGTGTATTTTGCTAGGAGAAGGCTCAGCAACAGGGCAGAGGGGAATTTGACATTTAATTCATATTGTGTTAACCCTTCCAAAAGATCAGGTTTCCAACAGGTCGTGTGAGTCTGTAAGTAAGTTGATGATTTCAGTGTTCAAAACACTGTAGATAATTCATCTCCTAAAATATGATAGAGTAAATATTCTTGAAGGCAGATTTCTTTTTGTGAGGTCTGCATGTTTTTGAAAATTACCTTGTTAAATTTAATTCTCAGTAGTTACAGCAAATACATAATCTACTGTCTGTTCTAACCCTGAGCTGCAAATGAATTAGAATACCTACAGCAGAAATGAATTATGCATAAAATAAACCACAAAAAAACCAGGCAAATGTAATATTATGAAATACATGCCTCTTTGGTATGTTGTCTGTGCAGTTATATTGTTCTTTGCTCCTTTGTAGGTATGGAGAAGTTGAAATTATTTCACAGTAAGTACAAAACAGCCCTGTGAACCACTAGGTATGTTTGTAGGTGTTAATTGCGTATGAGTAATTATTACATATACATAAATATGTATATATATTCATGTGCAGTTGTTACATCAGCAAAAGTTATAAATTGGGTATCACTCTATTTGTGTAAAGCTTTAGTAAATCTTTTTTGTAGTGACTGTTTCAGTTTTTAATTATAGGAAGCAAACATCAGCGTATATGCAAAAAATGCCCATCACTATAATGTTTAATCTTATGATACTTGGTCATCATAAGTTGGTGTCTTTTTAAATGCATTTGAGATAGACATCTTTATTCAAGATCCATAGAAGTACAGTGATTTAAATAGCTACCAAAGATGTTATATTGAGACATTCATGAAAATTACTGCGGGAATGTACCATTTCCTCTCACATGAACAGAAAGTGACTGTAATGAAATATTACAACTTTTTGATGTCTCACACATACTCGGAAAGGCACCTTTTATGAGTAAGTACCTCGAATAGTCTGTTTTCTTTTACTGCATTTAAAAATCACATGTGAACATTACTTACTGTGATAGATTCTATAATGTATTAATACAAGCGATTTTTCATTCCTGGTTATACTACAAATACAGTAACCATTTTGCTGACAAAGCTTATCAACAAAGAATAGGACTGATTACTTATGGAGAGTTGGAGATTTTTTCAGTAATTGCAAATTTAAAATAAACCGCTGTTAAAGTCTATTGATTGTATGGAGCAGATTATGACCATGTTATCCAATAAACATTTTTTTTCTTGCCAATGAAAAGTACATGATATTTACATGTAAATGAAAGATATTTTTTGTAATACGTGGTCCTTTTATTCTTGCAAACAGTTTATAGTTATGGCAGTAGTCTTTCCCTTTTAGAATATTGAATAACTGTGAGTACTCATCAATAAATACCAAGTAAAATAACTTTGAAATATATATCAAAGTGGGTTTTTCCTTCTCTTCACCAGGCATGGTGGCAAAAAGTCTTAATACCAGACCTTGGGACCCATATTACTATGATTCCGTAAGATTTTCTTGATTACAAAAGACAGAGAAGAAACAAAGTCTTGAAGCTGCCTGTGTAAAGCTGCCTAAATCCTGTTAGTGACTGCAATGGAGCAGCAACATGAAGCAGGTTTGAAGGAAAGCCTTTGCCATGATTTTATGTTTACATGTATGCTGAATCTTCAGAGTGTTCCTGTTCATTCTCAGCTATGCAAGGTCCAGATTCAGTCCAGAGTTACACTAAACATCTGTGCTTGCTTTTACTCTTAGCTTGTCCTTAGCTTTGAATTCTGCTGCTTCTGAGGAAGCGCTTGTGTGCCCTGAAGATTGTGCGTTTTTTTCTCATCTACAACAGTTGACCTAAATAAACCAACAATCCTTAGGTTTAATCAGCTTATTAGAAGCCAGATAGTTCATGGTTCAAATTCTAGATAGACCAAAGTCAATGGAAATGTTACTATTACTTTGCCCTTACTGTAGCTCAGTACAGCCAGAATTTCTCTTTTGGAACTGCTCATTACTTCAAGTTACCCATGTGTTTAAGTGCATTCCTGATCTATAGCCAGGGTGCTCAGCATCTGTCAAAATTCTTATGAAGTTAGACAGATCACGGTGATGCACTGTGATGCAAAAACTTTGATTTTATTGGGTAAATTAGAAAAGTCATTATAACCTTTTTTTCTGAAGTCTGATACTAAATTACTTGGGAGGAAGGTAAAAATACTTGTAGTTTAGGCCTTGAAATAGTAACATCTAAGTTAATTTCCATTTCCAGATTTTGTGTGTCTGTTGACTGATTTTCTCACTAGTTTCCCCTTAAATTGACTAGAAAAAGCAGAACACTTCCTGGCATCACAGATATGTGGATAAATATGCAGGATATTTGCTGAATGCAGCATCAACATTGGTAGTATTTTTTTGTTTTATATGAAATGAATAATTACTCAGAGCAAAACAGATAGTTTTACTTCAGGAAACAGCAGTTTATAATGCATCTTCCTTCACCTTCAAAATAGGAAAAGTGAACCCAGCACATATCTGGTTATATTCCAGTGCTCCTTTGTTTGCCTTGGCGTTTGCTTCACTTTTATATAAATTAGTCCAAGTTGCTTGGGTGGTGTTAATCATTCTGTTGTTTGTCTACATGTTCAATGTCCTTAAAGCTTGTAGTAGTAATGGGCTGCTATTTTTTTTCAAGTAGACTGGTTCACTTTCCTCAATATCTGTGCAAACTACAGAAAATCAATGGTGGCAAGTTATTAATTTTCAATTTTCATTGTGAATTGGATAACATTATGGTGTTTAGCTGAATAATACATTATGTCTAATGGTGCCTGGTATTATAAATTATACTTTGATTATAATCTTCCCTTTTAAAGCTAAGAAATTTTGCCCTGGAATATTCTCTTGATCTGTTTAAGTCTCACACATTAAAAAAAAATTCACATGTACCTGAGGAGGATTCTGACAGATTTTTTTTTCTCTGAATAAAGTTTGTAGAATCAATTGTGTAACAGAATAAGATATTTTTTTCTAAAAAATGCAGTGTTAAAATAGACATAAAATCTATTTGTAAAACAACACTAAAATATTTTTAGTAATATTTTGTCTTTAAAATGTTATGGTTAGCAATAGAAATAATATATATTAGATAAATACTTTCAACATTATTAATGCCAAATCCTAGATCCATTGCAAGGAAAGAAGAATGCTGTCAGCACTATCTGCTAGACTCAGTTGTAATTTTGGATTACACAGTGTTGAAGAATGGGGTAAAAATCTAGAAATAAAAGCCTTGCTGAGCAGTATAATTTGTTTTTCTCTCCAATATGCAAAAATAATTCTTCCTTGCTGTCACAAGATCACCTGCTTGAATAATCTGGCAAAGTATTCTACACATTTTATTCTGTCATGTTGAGTTTTGGCTAGTATACCTAGGCTTTATTCCCAAGAAAGTAGATGCTGTTTTCAGCTTCTCTCATGAGAGGCATTTAGAAGATGCAGGCATTTCCCTAACTGAGGCAGAAGTATAAAACGGAGTTGTGAACCTTGCTGCCAAAATTTGAGGAACCCAGATTAAGGAAACTATGTATGGATAAAACTGTCTAAGGGAACAAAAACAGGAAATGTTTTTAGATGAGAAACAGCTATCAGGAATTTAAACAGGAAAGGCTGAGTACAGTTTGTTACTACAGAATGCTAATGCTCCATGTGGAAGGACCATTGCCTTAATGATTAGAGCTTTAAGAGAAAGTCACCCCAAGGTCAGGCAATCCTGGTCAGCAGTACTAAGTGGTCCACAAGGTACTTCACTGGTTATAAAGCTGAAAATGCAGTTACACCCAGGGGAGGCAGATGTCCAGCTATGTCCTAAATTAGCAGGACCAAGTTGCAAACAAGAATTATCATCAGAAAAAGACAGAGGACACTCCAGAGAAAGCAAAGTACTCCAGCTAGGGTCAGAGAAATCAGAGGCAAGCTGTGATGTCCAGCCAAGCACCTAGCTCCAGCTGGAGCAGAGCAATGCAGTACAGTTGCAGTTGTCGGAAGCTGATCACAGCTAGAGGTACAAGCGGATATGGTGCACGCATGCAGAATGTGTCATTATCTGCAAGACACAAAGCCTTGAAGAAAGGGAAGATGTTGGAATGGTTTAAATGGCATTATGATAGCATGCTTTATGGTGTGACTAAAAAGCTGCACTCCCCGTGGGCACGGGGTAGGAGTAAATTGCAGGACAACCCTTTTTTTTTGCTAAGCAAAGTTGTTGTAAGTCTGGGCTATATTGTGCTTTTTAATTTCCGGAGATATTCAGATGTATATTTAATTAATGTATAAACAGTAGGTTTCTACAGTGAGTTTCTGTTCCTACAAAGACAGATCTGGTGTTATTGCATTATCAAACAGTAACAGTAAGATGATACTTACAAAAATATTTTTTAAAAAGTTTTGTGATAATAACACTGTAATACTGCTGCCAAGATATACCCTGTTGTAGCCTGGTCATGCTGAGTCAAAATAACAGAAAACAGATATACAATTAACTTCCTTATGAATTTAAAGGTAAGAATAAGATCAATTGAAATCAATATTTTACTGAATTTTATTTTCAAAAAAAAAAGAATATTTTTCCTTTTTTGATGTAAACCTGTAAGATTTTTGATTAAGTATTCCATTGAAAATGTGGCAATATGCTTTATCCATGATTCAGACCTTAGAGGGATTTAAGAGAAATGAACTGGCAGATTTTTAAAATATATATAAAATTATTTATATAGAATCTTTATATATATCTTTATATAGATATGTATATTTGTCATTTGTGACATTTATGTAAATATTATGTCCAGATTTTCCACCAATGGATGTGATTTGTAGAAGGGCTCTGCAGAAAATAGGGCTCACTTCTGTTCAACACTGTGCTTGATCACATTGAATTAATTATCCTATCACATCTGATAAATCTTACACATGACTCACAGGCCAACAAAACATTAAGTAATGGTGAGGCTAGACAGTTATACAGAGTAACCTAGAATCATTGTAATGCTGGGCCTTTAGGGGGGAAAGAAAAAAAGATGTTTATATAGCTAAACAAAGAATAAGTGTATGAAACGGCAATTTTATCTCAAAGGTTTAATGAGACCAATATTGAAATACTACTTACAGAGCTAGTGTAGATGCACCAAAAAAGAGAAGTTGAAAATCTACAGTCAATGTATCATAAAATGCCCAGGGAGATTTCTCTAATAAAAAGGAGGAGGAACATGAGCGGCAACAGAAGAACCTGGCTGCACTGCATCTTGCAGCAGCTTGGACAGTCTCTTCAGAAGGTGCCTCACATCCATCTTTTACCAAGATGAACGCACGGATTCAGAGCAGTCACCTCATGCCAGGCAAAGCACTGACTGTCTCCAGTGACAAGTACATAATTTTAAAAGTCAGTGATAGATGGAGAATCAAACTTGACAATCCTTTTTTAAATTTCATTAATGTCAGTATACCAAATATAAAATAATTTAGGAATGAATTATAGCAAATCTCTTCTAATTAGAGATTACAGATTGCCTCAGTGTGATCTTGCGAAAGATCTACAAGCAAAGCTGATTCTCTAAACGATGCGATTGTTAAACTAAAGCTGTGTGACTTGTCATGGATAACTTTGACACAGAAATCCGTAATTTGAATAAAAGTAACCTTTTAGTTCATTATGAAACCTGATGGAGATACCTGGCATCTTTCATGCTCCTTTGAACTCCTTTTTAGCTCATTGCTAGCCTAATGGCTGCTAGACTTTACAGTTACAGTTCAAAGCCTGATTTATGTTACCAGTTAAAAAACACCTAAAAGCCATTGAAAACAAGAACTGTAGGCCCAAAAGTATGCAGTCCAGGTCTGTCCACCAGGTTTACCAAGCCTTTTACTGGATCAGGCTGCTGAATTTTGACTCACAAAGGTTTCAGATCTTGGTGACTGACAGAAAAGAGAAGATTAAAAAATCACTGGTGTAGTTTTATTATTGTGCCGAGTAGTCAGACTCTTCAGTCTCTTGTCTGATATCTAAACAAGATAGTATGTGTAATTGATAAATATGACAGTGAGAGCTGGGAAGAGAACAAATAGTGCTTTCCAGTTACAGCATCATGGGTTAACATGTGATGTGAATGTGTAACTTGACTGTGGAGATTACAGAAACAAAGGACACTGTGACCAGCACTAATAGTGAGCTGATTTGACATTGGGAATGCTTGCACTGTGCAGTGGTAGGGGCTGGCAATTTTGGAGCTAAGAGGAACATTTTGTGCTTCAAGGAGGACTATAATGCCAGGTGTACTGCAGTGCATCACCTAAAATGCAGAACTGGCTCCCCAGCTCGGTTTGAAAGTGTCTGTATGACCTGGACACACTCTGCCCTGTCTGCAGTACAAGCAGTAATGAACATTCATAGCTTGTTATGCCCCATTTAAGGCTGTAATAGAAGAGCAAACAACCCAGACTTCAGGGATGAGGAACAATAAAGGTATGATGGCAGTATTCTCAGGAACAGGTGTTGCACTGTTGGCTTGTCCACACCAGCCTAACCTGTCTGAATCTAAATGTTATTTTTCAGACCAAACTTTTTCATTTTGATTTCCTCTTAATGTATGTATATATATTGTTTATTCACAAGCAAGTTACAGCTTCTGGTGGGTTGAAGCAGGCAGTGGAGTATCTCTATTCATACATTTTTGCTTTTTAGTAGGATCTATTCAGAGCAAGACAAAACCCTGACTGAATGCTGGGAGAAATTTTGTATCACGGAGTCATTTAAATGTGAACTAGGACATTCTCTGGACAATTACATAAAAATGGAAAATGACCCTCTGTACAATAGTTGCTTTCAACATGATCCAAGGCCAAGACAGGCTTTTGACAGTTACATAATGCAGATGGGTCATGATCAGCCAACACGGAAATGTTCGGCATTGTGCAAAATGTGAATCACATTTAGCAAATTTGAAATCAAAAGGAGAAAAAAAAAAACCAAACAGACAAAAAAGCCTCAATTTTCAGTATGTTATCAATTTCTAATTGATAATATTTAAATTTATAAATATTTATTTGTAGTCTGAAAACTAAATGCTAATGGAAAGATTGGAAAAGGCTGAAATAAGGAATCTGGGAGGTCTTCAAGCTTTGACACACCTGTTTGCAAAACCATCTGTGATATATTGTAAATGGTTTATAAAGCTACAGATTAGTGATCATAGAATCACAGAATCATAGAATAGTTAGGGTTGTAAAGGACCTTAAGATCATCTAGTTCCAACCCCCCTGCCATGGGCTATATATGCTATATCCTATATGCTATATCATATATGCTATATACATACAAAATGCATATGTTTTTATTTAGAAATAATTTACTATGCCTCTAAAATACCTATACCTCTAAAATAGCTATAGACTAATTTAGTTACACAACTGAATTCCAGAATTCACAAATCCAAATAATATAGCTTACTACTACTAGTGTCCTGCCACCTCTGCTTTTCTGCAAAAAATACACTTGCATCAGTAAACACCGCATTGCAGTAGTGTGAATTTTCTCTTCTCCCAGTGGTAATAAGGTCTTAAACTAAATGGAATTCATAGAATCATAGAATCATGGCATGGTTTGGGTTGAAGGGACCCTAAAGCTCATCCAGTTCCAACCCTCTGCCATGGGCAGGGATACCTTCCACTACCTTGATCACTGCCAGGGATGGGGCAGCCACAACTTCTCTGGGCAAACCTATTTCAAGGCCTCACCACCGTCATAGTAAAGAATTTCTTCCTAATGTCTAATCTAAATCTGCCCTCTTTCAATTTAAAGCCATTCCTCCTTGTCCTGTCACTACATGCCCTCGTAAAAAGACCCTCTTCAAGGGAATTGTGGCATTTCAGTGTACTTAATTTATACTGTGAAAGCCAAAGGCTTTATACATGTATGTATCTGTCTATTTAGAAAAAAAATTGCACTTAAAAGTTTTATATATATAGTATATAATACATACATATATAATACATGTGTATTATATATATATAAATTATATATAAAAAGCCTGATATCAGTTGGCTGCAGGGAGCTAAAGCACAAGCTTCTTTGGTATCTCTCCTATATTTTTTTCACTGTAGCTTGAGGAGAAATCTACTGATATTAAACAATAAATCATGGTCTCCACTTGCATTCTCTCTTTTACTTCCTGGATGACACCAAGAATATTAATTACAACACAGGAATTATAATATCATTTCAAATTAATTATCTTTCTGTGTTATCCCTTCTCTGAGAATAGCTGGCCCCTAATGCTCCCCAGTATGTATTCCAAAATGCTGTAATCGACAATCCCATAAAAATACATTAATGAGGAAACTTTTTTGTGAGTCTAATAATGGGTTGTTTACAGAAACCAGTGTTGCAAATATTGGTATCTTGATTTTGTGTTGCTAAAGACAATATTTTATTATTGACTCTGATATTTTTTCCCTCCTAAAACCTTTTTCTATCCACTAAAATATTTTATAGTAGTGAAGAAGTGAATTATAAGTTGTGTTGAAAATAAGATTTTGGTATCTACCCTTAGGTTCCTGCTTTTAATATGTATAAACTGAATTACAGTAGTGAATTTTATCAAGAAGCAGGATTTTTATGCTAAATCATAAAAAGAAGCCTCTGTTACATGTCATACAGTGTTTTCTGCTTCAAGGCTAGCTAGTTCTGGTTACTACTTCTTTTTGCCATAATGCATGTTGTCCATCTATGGAACAAGTATTCAAATGACTGAATCTGAATCTGTGTTTTGACAGAGCTTTTTTTCTAAAGGCTAACTAGGTAGGGAATTATCCCAAAATACTTGCATCTCTCAACACAGTAAATATGCAGGGATTTAAGCTTTAACTCTTTCATGCAGCCTTACTATTAAAGAACATAAATATGTAGAGCTACATCTTTTTGTGGAACGTTAGTACTTGTACCAGTACATCATCTCTGTATATCAGTGTAGAATTGTGGAATGACAGGTCCTTGATAGTAGGAAAAGTGTTCATTATGAAAGTAGTAGTGAATCAGTTCATTGCCAAAAACATATAAAGAAGTGACAAAGCAATCAAGCACTGGCTGACAACACATAGTCAAAAGCCTGACAGATTAATCTTTAATCTTGTTTAGTATACTTACTGATTAATAAAGACCTTTCCAACTATACTATGCCAAAATCTGATAACATTGGGTGGAACTGGCATGAGGATAAACTTGAAAGACATATAGAGAAAAATAAAGTTTCCTCCAAACTCTAGTACTTTCCAACATAAAGTATGTAGATATCTTATTTAGACCCTTATCTTGATCCCACTGAATTTATAATGAATATTTAAAGAATTGCAGTGAACTTCAGATAATGCCCTTGCTGCACAGGGTATCTGACAGTGGGCATTATTCACCTCAAGTCAAAGCAGACATGCAAGCTTACAAATATTTAAACCTTTTCATTTAGTTTGGATGAATGAACCTCCTTTGAGAAATACAGTGTTTAGCTTTGAGAAATATAGCATTTAATAACACTGTACCCTTTGCTGTGTTCAGGTTATATATCAGGAGGAAGTTCTTTACTGTAAGGGTGGGGAGGCACTGAAATGGGTGCCCAGGGAAGTTGTGAATGCTCCATCCCTGGCAGGGTTCAAGGCCAGTTTGGACAGAACCTTGAGTGACATGGTCTAGTGTGAGGTGTCCCTGGCCATGGAAGGGGGGCTGGAACTAGATGATCTTATGGTCCTTTCCAACCCTAACTATTCTATGATTCTGTGATTCTATGTATATACTAACTGTTGGCTGCAAGAAGTGAAATTTCTAGAGGTTAACAATACTGGTCTATTGTAAAAGGAGCCAAAATAATAGAAAAGACATGGCAATGGCTTGTGGGAGAAAGTATCCTAATCACCTGTAATCTTGGGATTTTAACCAAGTGATTTCCCCTTACATAATGGGAAGCATGATTTGTAAAGGCCTCTTAAGATCTTCAGTGTAAATGTAAGATTGTATGAGGAAAGCAGCTGATATTAAGTTCATATAGTTAATTATTATAAAATGTGAGCAAAGCCTATGTTAAAGTAAGTAAAGTTAAATGAAAATTTGCAAATGGTTGATGAAACATGAATATAGAAAAAATAATGCACACAGTGATGCTATCCAAGAGTGTCAGAATTGCCGTATCTCTTGCTGTTTGCACTCCTGAAAGCATTCAAATGACACCTTGCATCTAAAGCCACAATTACCAAGCCTCTTCTTTTGCTTCTGTGCTGAAGAGAAGAGAGGGATTGCTATGGAGACAATATATAGCTAATAGCTGGAGGGTAGGTGGAATAAATTCAATAAATAAACAGG